CCCTCATTTTTGGGGACAATCCGTGCCAGGTCCCAGCCCTCTGTGCTGTTCAGAGCTGCCACCTCCCTGTCCCCACATTTTTGGGGACAAACTGTGACAAATCCAAGGCCACTGAACATCACTGTGCTCAGTTTGGAGCTGCCACTTCTCTGTCCCCACATTTTTGGGGACAATCCATGCCCGCTCCCAGCCCCCTGTGCTCTTTGGAGCTGTCCCCACATTTTTGGGGACAATCCGTGCCCAATCCCGGCCCTCTCTGCTCAGTTTGGAGCTGTCCCCTCCCTGTCCCCACATTTTTGGGGACAAACTGAGATCAATCCCGTCCCTCTCTGCTCAGTTTGGAGCTGTCCCCACATTTTTGGGGACAATCTGTGCCCAATCCCAGCCCTCTCTGCTCAGTTTGGAGCTGTCCCCTCTCTGTCCCCTCATTTTTGGGGACAATCCGTGCCCGCTCCCAGCCCCCTGCGCTCTTTGGAGCTGTCCCCTCATTTTTGGGGACAATCCGTGCCCAATCCCGGCCCTCTGTTCTCAGTTTGCAGCTGTCCCCTCCCTGTCCCCACATTTTTGGGGACAAACTGAGATCAATCCCAGCCCCCTGCGCCGTTCGGAGCCGCGGTGGGCGCAGCCCCCTCCCCTCCAAACCAGCAATCCCGGGGGGTTCCATCCCCCTGGGGGTCCCGTGCCCCCCCCGGAGCAGGGCTGCCTGGGGGGATCCGTCCCTCCCAAAATCCTTCCCGTGGCCCCAAGGAATGCGTCCTTGTCGGGAGGAGAATTCTTGGCAGGGGAGCGGGACACGGAGCCCCGGCGCGTTTTTGGGAGGTGCTGCCGAGCTCGGGAACAAACACGAGCGGGACAGCGTGTCCCTGCCTGTCCCCGCACGGTCCCCGCGGCCTCGGGAATTCCCGGTGCCGGGGAATCCGGAGAGCCCCGGGCAGGGGACACGCCCGGCCGGGCTGGAGATGGCACAGGTGGGGACAGAGCAAGGGCTGGGCAGGGACAGAGCCGGGAGAGCTGAGGGGGCACTGGGGACAGGGGGCACTGGGCACAGGGGGCACTGGGGACAGGGGTGGCACTGGGGACAGAGGTGGCACTGGGGACAGGGGGCATTGGGGACAGAGATGGCACTGGGGACAGAGGTGGCACTGGGGACAGGCACAGCGATCCAGAAGAGCTGAACATGTAAAAAAATTATATATATATATTTATTTCTTTTTTTGTTTGTTTGTTTTTAATAGCTATTTGTCACCTATTTACAGCGTGGCTGGGACGGACAGCAGGACACCACTGTCCCAGCCAGGTGACACGGGCAGGACCCAGAGGGGACAAGGACAGCCCCCAGCCCCTCCTGAGCCCTTGTCCCCTCCCCGGGGCTGCTTCATCCTCGGGGCACACAAAATTCCAGCACGCCCTGGGTAAACAAGTGGCACAGGTGGCACAGGTGACACAGGTGGCACAGGTGGCACAGGTGACACAGGTGACACAGGTGACACAGGTGACACAGGTGGCACAGGTGACACAGGTGACACAGGTGACACAGGTGACACACAGAGTGCCCAGGGAACGCCCGGCTCAGCAGGAAGGTGCAGGAGGAGGAAAACCCAGCCCGGGCATCCCTCACTCCTGCTCCTTCCTCTGGCTCCTGGGGCAGCTCTGGGGCACAGCTGTGCCCACTGCAGGGAAAGGTGGCACCAGGAGGGCACAGTGCCACCCCCAGCCATGCCTCTGCAGCTTCTAAGGTTTGGGGCTTTTTTTTTGTTGTGATATTTGTTTTAATTTGGAGGTTTTGTTTGGGTTTTTTTCCGCCCCAGGTTTGAGACAAAACAAAAACAAGAAGGGGGAAAAAAAGAGATCAAAGTTTGGGATGCTTCAGCCAAGCTCCTCTGGTCAAGCTCAGCCAAATCCTTCTGGTTTTATCCCTCTGACTAAATTCAGCCAAGCCCTTCTGTTTTTTCCCCTCTGGCCAAATTCAGTCAAGCCCCTCTGGTTAAATTCAGCCAAACCCCTCTGGTCAAGCTCAGCCCAATCCTTCTGGTTGTGTCCTTCTGGCCAAGCCCCTCTGGTTTTGTCCCCCTGGCCAAATTCAGTCAAGTCTTTCTGGTTTTATCCCTCTGGTCAAGCTCAGCCAAATCCTTCTGGTTTTATCCCTCTGGCAAAATTCAGCCAAGCCCCTCTGGTTTTGCCCCTCTGGTTTTGTCCCCCTGGCCAAATTCAGTCAAGTCTTTCTGGTTTTATCCTCCTGACCAAATCCAGTCAGGCCCCTCTGGTTTTGTCCCCCTGGCCAAGCTCAGCCAAGCTCCCCCAGCTGAGGTGGGGCTCTGCCCCCAAAGCACCCAAAGGTGTTTCACACACTGCCCAGGCTGTCCCACCCCTCTGGACACGCTGTCCCCTGTGAGTTGAGCCAGGGACACATCCCAGGCAGCTCGGCCCAACAGCACCTCAGACCTGGAATTTGTTTCATCTCAGCCAATGTCAGCACTTTGAAGCTCTAAAGCACACACCTGAGCATGCCTGCAGAGCTGGGGCCACACCTGTGAGAGCTGGGGTCACCATTTCAGATCTGGGATCACAATTTCAGATCTGGGATCACACCTGTGAGAGCTGGGATCACAGTCTCAGATCTGGGATCACACCTGTGAGAGCTGGGGTCACAACTTCAGGTCAGGGATCACACCTGTGAGAGCTGGGGTCACAATTTCAGATCTGGGATCACAATTTCAGATCTGGGATCACAATTTCAGATCAGGGATCACACCTGTCAGAGCTGGGATCACACTTTCCAAACCTAGAATCACAATTTCCAGATCTGAGATCACACTTTCCATATCTGGGATCACTTTTCAGATGTGGGATCACAATTTCCAGGTCTGAGATGACAATTTCCAGGCCTGGGATCACACCTGTGAGATCTGGGATCACTTTCCATATCTGGGATCACTTTTCAGATGTGGGATCACAATTTCCAGGTCTGAGATCCCACTCTCCAGATCTGGGATCACACCTGCCAGACTTGGGATCACTCTTTCCAGGTCTGGGATCACACCTGTGAGATCTGGGATCCCACTTTCCAAATCTGGGATCACTATTTTCAGATCTGGGATCACACCTGTGAGATCTGGGATCACTCTCCATATCTGGGATCACTCTCCTGCCCAGCTGCCTCAGTCTCTGTGACCCCAAGCCCTGAAATCCCTTCCCACCTCCCAGCCCTGCCCTCTGCTCTCCTCCAGGTGCCTCCCCCGAGCCCCCTCTGCTCCTCGGGGGCTCTCCCAGCCAGCAAGGAGGCAGAGCTCCACCTGTGAGCCTGGATGGTGCCAGGATGGTGCCAGGATAGCTCCAGGATGGTCACAGGATGATTCCAGGATGGTTCTTCTGGAGTTCTCCCAGCCAGGAAAGAGGCAGAGCTCCATCTGTGAACCTGGATGGTGCCAGGATGGTTCCAGGATGTCTCCAGGATGGTTCTATGATGGTTCCTCTGGGGCTCTCCCAGCCATCAAGGAGGCAGAGCTCCACCTGTGAGCCAGGATGGTTCCAGGATGGTTCTTCTGGAGCTCTCCCAGCCATCAAGGAGGCAGAGCTCCATCTGTGAACCTGGATGGTGCCAGGATGGCTCCAGGATGGTCACAGGATGGTTCCTCTGGAGTTCTCCCAACCAGGAAAGAGGCAGAGCTCCACCTGTGAGCCAGGATAGCTCCAGGATGGTGCCAGGATGGCCCAGGATGTCTCCAGGATGGTTCTAGGATGGTTCTAGGATGGCTCCAGGATGGTTCCAAGATGGTGCCAGGATGTCTCCAGGATGGTTCCAGGATGTCTCCAGGATGGTTCTATGATGGTTCCTCTGGGGCTCTCCCAGCCATCAAGGAGGCAGAGCTCCACCTGTGAGCCAGGATGGTTCCAGGATGGTTCTTCTGGAGCTCTCCCAGCCATCAAGGAGGCAGAGCTCCATCTGTGAACCTGGATGGTGCCAGGATGGCTCCAGGATGGTCACAGGATGGTTCCTCTGGAGTTCTCCCAACCAGGAAAGAGGCAGAGCTCCACCTGTGAGCCAGGATAGCTCCAGGATGGTGCCAGGATGGCCCAGGATGTCTCCAGGATGGTTCTAGGATGGTTCTAGGATGGCTCCAGGATGGTTCCAAGATGGTGCCAGGATGTCTCCAGGATGGTTCCAGGATGTCTCCAGGATGGTTCTATGATGGTTCCTCTGGGGCTCTCCCAGCCATCAAGGAGGCAGAGCTCCACCTGTGAGCCAGGATGGTTCGGATCACACCTGTGAGAGCTGGGATCACAGTCTCAGATCTGGGATCACACCTGTGAGAGCTGGGGTCACAATTTCAGATCTGGGATCACAATTTCAGATCTGGGATCACACCTGTCAGAGCTGGGATCACACTTTCCAAACCTAGAATCACAATTTCCAGATCTGAGATCACACTTTCCATATCTGGGATCACACCTGCCAGATCAGGGATCACTTTTCAGATGTGGGATCACAATTTCCAGGTCTGAGATGACAATTTCCAGGCCTGGGATCACACCTGTGAGATCTGGGATCACTTTCCATATCTGGGATCACTCTCCTGCCCAGCTGCCTCAGTCTCTGTGACCCCAAGCCCTGAAATCCCTTCCCACCCCCCAGCCCTGCCCTCTGCTCTCCTCCAGGTGCCTCCCCCGAGCCCCCTCTGCTCCTCGGGGGCTCTCCCAGCCAGCAAGGAGGCAGAGCTCCACCTGTGAGCCTGGATGGTGCCAGGATGGTGCCAGGATAGCTCCAGGATGGTCACAGGATGATTCCAGGATGGTTCTTCTGGGGCTCTCCCAGCCAGGAAAGAGGCAGAGCTCCACTTCTGAGCCAGGACAGCTCCAGGATGGCTCCAGGATGTCTCCAGGATAGCTCCAGGATGGTTCTTCTGGGGCTCTCCCAGCCAGGAAAGAGGCAGAGCTCCATCTGTGAACCTGGATGGTGCCAGGATGGTTCCAGGATGTCTCCAGGATGGTTCTATGATGGTTCTTCCGGGGCTCTCCCAGCCACTGTGAGCCAGGAGGGCTCCAAAGAGCAGCAAAATTAAGGCAAAGCCTCTGAGAGAGGAAGGGCCAAGCCAGCCCTGCCCCCCAGCAGCTCTGGGGTGTGCTCTGCAAAGACTCAAACCACCACGTGGATTCTGGTGCTCCCACCCCTACGGTACAGCGAATTCAATCCTTTTAGCCAAAAAAAAGAGACAAAAAGAGGGCAGCCCCCAGCTGGGAGCGCAGCTACCCTGCCAGCTTGCTGGTGACCAGCGAGGATTTCCTCTGGGGCAGGTCCTGGGGCGTGGGGATGTGGTCTCCTGTCACCAGGTTCTTGTCAGGCCCTGCACTCGGCAGCTGCTTGTTCTTCATCTTGGCCTTGGCCATGTTGTAGTCGCCGGAATCGAAGTATTTTTGCTGGAAAAAGGAGAAATGTTTGGGTTAGCGGGAGTGCAGGGGCAGGGGAACAGGAGCAGGAGCCTTTGGGGAGGGCAAATGGGATTGGGAGTGCAGGATTTGGGATTGGGATTAAATTAAAATTACATTTATCATGGCAATAATTTACATTTATTAAATTAAAATTTATTAAATTAAAATTACATTTATCATGGCAATAATTTACATTTATTAAATTAAAATTTATTAAATTAAAATTACATTTATCATGGCAATAATTTACATTTATTAAATTAAAATTTATTAAATTAAAATTACATTTATCATGGCAATAATTTACATTTATTAAATTAAAATTTATTAAATTAAAATTACATTTATCATGGCAATAATTTACATTTATTAAATTAAAATTTATTAAATTAAAATTACATTTATCATGGCAATAATTTACATTTATTAAATTAAAATTTATTAAATTAAAATTACATTTATCATGGCAATAATTTACATTTATTAAATTAAAATTTATTAAATTAAAATTACATTTATCATGGCAATAATTTACATTTATTAAATTAAAATTTATTAAATTAAAATTACATTTATCATGGCAATAATTTACATTTATTAAATTAAAATTTATTAAATTAAAATTACATTTATCATGGCAATAATTTACATTTATTAAATTAAAATTTATTAAATTAAAATTACATTTATCATGGCAATAATTTACATTTATTAAATTAAAATTTATTAAATTAAAATTACATTTATCATGGCAATAATTTACATTTATTAAATTAAAATTTATTAAATTAAAATTACATTTATCATGGCAATAATTTACATTTATTAAATTAAAATTTATTAAATTAAAATTACATTTATCATGGCAATAATTTACATTTATTAAATTAAAATTTATTAAATTAAAATTACATTTATCATGGCAATAATTTACATTTATTAAATTAAAATTTATTAAATTAAAATTACATTTATCATGGCAATAATTTACATTTATTAAATTAAAATTTATTAAATTAAAATTACATTTATCATGGCAATAATTTACATTTATTAAATTAAAATTTATTAAATTAAAATTACATTTATCATGGCAATAATTTACATTTATTAAATTAAAATTTATTAAATTAAAATTACATTTATCATGGCAATAATTTACATTTATTAAATTAAAATTTATTAAATTAAAATTACATTTATCATGGCAATAATTTACATTTATTTATGAAATTAAAATTTATTTCTTAAATAAAACTGATACCAATTTATTATGGCATTAATTTACACTTGTTAATTAAATTAAAAATTATTTATGAAATACAATTTACATAATTTATTATGGAATTAGTTTACACTTATTAATTAAGTTAAAATTGATTTATTAAATAAAATTTACATAATTTATTATGTCATTAATTTACTTTTATAAAATAAAATTTACTAAAGAAAATTGAAATTATTTATTAAATTATCAATTGACATTTACATTTATTTACTAAATTCATTATGCACAATTTACATTATTTATTATATTATCAATTTACATTTAATCCCTGGATTTTGGGCTGGATTTTGGGAAGGAATTCCTGGATTTTGGGCTGGATTTTGGGAAGGAATTCCTGGATTTGGGTGTGCTGGGAAGGATTTTGGGGCTCCCAGGTAGGATTTGGGGATCCTGGGGAGGATTTCAGGAATTCCAGGCAGGATTTTGGGTTCATGGGCCGGATTTTGGGGATCCTGGACAGGAATTTGGGGATCCTGTGCAGGATTTTGGGGATCCTGGGCAGGATTTTGGGTTCATGGGTAGGATTTTGGGTTCATGGGCAGGATTTTGGGTTCATGGGCAGGATTTTGGGTTCCTGGGCAGGATTTTGGGGTTCCTGGGCAGGATTTTGGGGTGTGACAGCAGCAGCCAAAGCTCTGTCCCCTGAAACCACTGCAGGATCCTGAGGGCTCCCCTCAGAGCCCAGGGACCCCCGCCAGTGACCCCATCCCATCCCGGGTCCATCCCACGCACCCCCCACGCCGCCATCGAGCCTAATGCGGAAGTCCCGCCCACCCCAAACCCGGTAGCCAATCAGAGCCCGGTTTTCCCCAGACGGACAACACACCCAACCAATCCCCGCCTACGACTGGAAAGATGGACGTGCAGCCGAGCCAGTGGGAGCCCGCCCGACACCCCCTCAGTCCCCCGGGGGTTCCCCCACCTGTTTCTCCTGCCCGGTCTCCTCCGTGAAGGCGCCGGTACCGAGCGGGGCTGCCATGGCGGCGAGGGGGGAGCTCCGCGCTCCCTCCGCTGCGTCCGGCCCCGCGCCCTGCTCCAAAATGGCCGCCACCGCCTCCACCGCCTCAGCTGCGTGACGGACAGCAGCTCCAGCCAATGAGCGCAGAGCAGCGGCAGCAGTGACATCACAGCTGACCAGTCCGTGAGCGCGGAGGGCGGGGTACTGAGGGGGGCGGTGCAGCGATGACTGGCATTAACAGCGGCCAATAGAAAGAGGGAAAACTCCAGTGGGCGGGGGAGGGGCGGGGCTTCCTTTGTCCCGCAGTGCCGCGGGTTCGAGACCGGGGCCGGGAGGACGCGGGGACACAGCGGGGCACCGGGGGACACCGAAATGCCCCAAAACCCCCCCAGGAAAGGAAAAGGGGCCTGGGGGAGGAGGGAGCTCACCCCCACCCATCAGCTGAGCCCGCCCGCAGCTCAGGACACCGGTGTCACCAACACCCCGGGGACATCGCGGCGCTGCCAGCGCCCCTGGAACCGCCGGGGCTGGCAGCTGCGCCCACCGAAACACGCACAGAGCCCGGGCTCAGGGGAAGATCGAAACTTTAACCGAGCTACAGGAGAACGGAGCGGGGGAGGAAGCAAGGAAAGGGGTTGTGAACAAAAATAATCACAGTTTCACTTGGTTCTTCTTACTAGAAACAGCAGCTGAGGCACGGGGGGCACAGCCCGGGGGGGCTTTGGGTGCCCAACACCCCCAAAGCCACCCCAGGAGGGTGTGAGCTGCTCAGGGGCACCCCCGGAGTGAGCTGGCTGTGAGAGAGGCTCCCAGGAGCTCCGTCTGTGCCGGGGTTTGGCCTCTTGGAGCAGCTCCTGGGCCACCCCTGGCATTGTCACCCCCACCTGTGCCACCCCCGGCACTGCCACCCCTGGCATTGTCACCCCCGGCATTGTCACCCCCATCGGTGCCACCCCCGGCATTGTCACCCCCGGCATTGTCACCCCCATCGGTGCCACCCCTGGCACTGCCACCCCCGGCATTGTCACTCTTGGCACTGCCACCCCTGGCACTGCCACCCCCGGCTCTGCACTGGCCTCAGAAGGAAATGCCCAAGGGCAAGGAGTGAAGAGCTGCTGCCACCTCCCCCGGAGGCACCACGGGGCTGTGCTGGTGCTGCTGCTGGGGGGTTCTCCCCTACCTGGGGAGGGGAAAAGCAAAAAATCCCCTGGTCCCTCCCCAGGCTGAGCCCACCCAGCGCCCCAGGAACTGCAGGTGCCCATGGGGAGAGGGCTCCCCTTGATGGGACCCACCAAGGGTCACCTCCACCCTGGGTGAGGAGTCCAGGACTTCTTGAAGGCCACCAGCACGGCCCAGATCATCTCCAAATCTGTGCCCCAGGAACTGCAGGTTCCCATGGGGAGAGGGTTCTCCTCGGTGGGACCCATCAAGGGTCTCCTCCACCCCATGTGAAAAGTGTTTAGGACTTATTGAAGGCCACCAGCACGGCCCAGATCATCTCAGTGCCCCTGCCTTTGGCAGCTTCCAGCTCCAGGTCCCTCTGGGGAGAGGGGTCCCCTTGATGGGACCCCAGGTGGGGTGTGAGGTTCCCTTGATGGGACCCATCCAGGATCTCCCCACCCCATGTGAGAAGTGTTTCATTGAAGGCCACCAGCATGGCCCAGGTCACCAGATCATCTCCATGTCCCTGCCTTTGGCAGCTTCCAGCTCCAGGTCCCTCTGGGTGTGACCCCAGCACGGGGACCCACCAAGGAGGACTTTTAGGACTTATTGAAGGCGGCCAGCACGGCCCAGATCATCTCGGTGCCCTTTCCTTTGGCAGCCTCCACCTCGGGGTCCATATCCAGCAGGTCCTTGGTCCTGTTCATGGCCAGGTCGTACTTGTCGTCGGCCAGGCTGGCGAAAACGTTCTCCAGCACGTCGGAGGCGTGGGCCAGCACCAGCAGGGCCAGAGTCCTGCGCTCCATGCGCTGGGGCTCGTTGACCCAGCGCTCCAGGACGCTCTCCTGGAGCCTCTTCAGCAGGCGCTGCTTCTCGGAGGCGTTGCTGACGGGGTGCGTGGTCATGTCGAAGAGGAGGAAGTTCTGCTTCTCCGTGGTCAGGATGCCCTTCTCCACCAGGGCCTTGGCCAGCCGCTCCCGCACGTTGCGCAGCTGGTACTGCAGCTTGAAGGGGTTCCAGGTCTCTCCTGAGGGGGGGAGGCTCTGCTCAAGGTTTGTTCCCAATCCCAACGTCCTTCCAGCCTTCCATGGTGTCCTGCACGGACACCAGGCCCTGCCACAGGAGCTCTGAGGTCCAAGATTTCCACTGAGCTCCAAACCCAGAAAATTCCTCTCTGCCCTCAAATTCAACCTTCCCCTGCTCTCCTCATCTCCAGGGACCTCCAGGGATCTCCAGGGATCCAGAGCCAGGCCAGGGAGGCTCTGCTCAAGGTTTCTTTCCCAATCCCAACGTCCTTCCAGCCTTCCATGGTGTCCTGCATAGACACCAGGCTCTGCGGTCCAAGATTTCCACCCAGCTCCCCACTCAGAAAATTCTCTGCCCCCACATTCAGCCTTCCCCTGCTCTTCTCATCCCCAGGGATCTCCATGGTGACCCTGGATGGATTTAGGTGGGTCTGAGGGACATTTGGACAGCCTTGGAGAGGGATTTTGGAGAGGGATTTGAGGGTCCAGGCTGGTTTTGGGGTTCTCCTCTCTTTTTGGGGTTCCCTCACCACCAGGTCCTGGAGCCCTGGATGCAGAAGGTGACCCTGGATAGATTTTGGTGGGTCTCAGGGACATTTGGAGACGGATTTTGGAGGGATTTGAGGCTGTTTTTGGGTTCCTTAATCACCAGCCCCTGCAGCTCTGGCTGCAGAGGGTGACCCTGGCTGGATTTTGGTGGGTCTGAGGGACATTTGGAGAGCCTTGGAGAGGGATTTTGGAGGGATTTGAGGCTGTTTTTGGGGTTCTCCTCTGTTTTTGGGGTTCCTTAATCACCAGCCCCTGCAGCTCTGGCTGCAGAGGGTGACCCTGGCTGGATTTTGGTGGGACTGAGGGACATTTGGAGAGGGATTTTGGAGGGATTTGAGGGTCCAGGCTGGTTTTGGGGTTCCTTAATCACCAGCCCCTGCAGCTCTGCTGCAGAGGGTGACCCTGGCTGGATTTTGGTGGCTCCCAGGGACGTTTGGAGAGGGATTTTGGAGGGATTTGAGGCTGGTTTTGGGGTTCTCCTCCAGTCTCCCCACGCTCACCTTCCTCTCCAGCAGCCTCCTCCTCCTCAGGGCCAGGGGCTCCAGGCGGATGCGGCCGCGCAGGGCCAGCTCGATCAGGATGCCCCCGCGCAGCCCCGAGGAGATGCAGTCGTTCCAGAACGAGGTGTAGCCCTGGGGAGGAAATGGGAGCAATTCTCTCTCCTGCTTCTCGTCCCTCCTGGCTGGCTTGGATCCTGCCCAGGAGTCTCCACAAAGCTCCCACATTTCCCTGCTCCTGTCTCTCCAAACCTTCCCAGATTTCCCTGCCCCATCTTTCTAAACCTTCCCAGATTTCCAGATTTCCCTCTTCCTGTCTCTCCAAACCTCCTCAGATTTCCCTGCCCCATCTTTCTAAACCTTCCTAAATTTCCCTGCTCCTGTCTTGGCTCCCATCTCCCCAAACCCTTCCCAAATTTCCCCGCTCCTGTCTCTCTAAACCTTTCCAAATTTCCCTCCTCCTGTCTCTCCAAACCTTCCCATATTTCCCTGCTCCTCTCCAAAACTTCCCAAATTTCCCTGCTCCTGTCTGAACCTTCCCAGATTTCCAGATTTCTCTGCTCCTGTCTCTGCTCCCATCTCCCCAGACCCTCCCAGATCTCCCTGTTCCTGTCTTTCCAAACCTTCCCAAACTCCCTGCTCCTATCTCTCCAAACCTTCCAAATCTTCCCAGATTTGCCTCCTCCTTTCTCCAAACCTTCCCAAATTTCCCTGCTCCTGTCTCTCCAAAGCTTCTCAAATTTTCCTGCTCCTCCCTCCAAACCTTCCCAAATTTTCCTGCTCCTGCCTCTCCAAACCTTCCCAGATTTCCAGATTTCTCTGCTCCTCTCTCCAAAACTTCCCACATTTCCACATTTCCTGCTCCTCTCCATTTCCTGGTTTCTCTCCAAACCTTCCCAGATTTCCTTTCTCCAAAACTTCCCACATTTCCCTGCCCCATCTTTCTAAACCTTCCCAGATTTCCCTTCTCCTTTCTCTCCAAAACTTCCCAGATTTCCCTGCTCCTGTTCCTCTTTCTCCAAACCCTCCCAGATTTCTCTGCTCCTGTCTCTCTAAACCTTTCCAGATTTCCCTCCTCCTGTCTCTCCAAAACTTCCCAAATTTCCCTGCTCCTGTCTCTCTAAGCCTTTCCAGATTTCCCTGCTCCTGTCTGATCATAAAAAGGAGCAGCAAAAAGGAAGAGAACTCCAAGCTCCAGAGGGAACAGGACAGTTCTGGGCTGGAATTGCAGCCAGGGAGAGAAAAAAAAACCCAAAAACACCTGGACAAGAAAGCCCAGGGAAGGGCAAGAAGGGAATTTTTGCCCAGGGAGGGAATTTGCCCTGGGAATGTGCCCAGGGAAGGGCAGAGAGGGAATTTGCCCTGAGAGTTTGCCCAGGGAGGGAATTTGCAGGGAAGGAATTTGCCCAGGGAAGGGCAGAGAGGCAATTTGCCCTGAGAATTTGGCCCAGGGAATTTGCAGGGAGGGAATTTGCTGTTCCCTGAGCTTCAAGAACACTCCAGAGATGCTTTCCAAGAGAGCTGGCTGTGCTTGGAGCATTGGGGCAGCCCAGGTGGCCTTTCCTTCCCTTCTCCCACTCCTCTTTCATTCCCTGAGGAGAACAAAGCCCCATTGTTCCCTCCTGTTCCTGGGATTGCAGGAGCAGCCAGGGCTCAGGAGAGCCTCGGGGGCTGGGCTGGCACTGGAGGGGTGCCCAAGGCAGGGGTGACCCCAGTGGGACCACAGCCACCACGGGGGGGTCTGCAGGGAGACCCCAACACACCTGCAAGGGGGTCCTGGTGGCAATTTCCACCTTTCTGCTGCTTTTCTGCCCTGTTCCCCTCCCTTTCTGTTGCTCTTTTTGCTCTCTTTTTCCTCCCTCTCTGCTGCTTTTTCTCCTCCCTTTCTGCTGCTTTCTTCCCTTCCTTTCTGCTTTTTTTGACTCTCCCTTTCTGCTGCTTTTCCTGCTTTTATTCCTCCCTTTCTGCTTCTCTTTCTGCTGCTTTCTTTCCTCCCTTTCTGCTCTTTTTTCCTCCCTTTATACTGCTTTTTCTGCTGCTTTTTTTCCTCCCTTTCTGCTGCTTTTCCTGCTCTTTTATTCCTCCCTTTCTGCTTCTCTTTCTGCTGCTTTCTTTCCTCCTTTTCTGCTGCTTTCTTTCCTCCCTTTCTGCTGCTTTCTTCCCTCCCTTTCTAGTCTTTTTCCCTCCCTTTATACTGATTTTTCTACCGCTTTTTTTCCCTCCTTTTCTACTCTTTTCCCCCTCCCTTCCTGCTGCTCTTTCTCTGGATGGAAAAAGGGAGGGAAAGGACCTAAAAGCCACCAGGAGAAAAAGCCAAGGCAAAGAGGCTGGGAGCCCCCAGCCCTCCCCCAGGGAAGGTTTTCCCTCCCCAGGGCTGAATTCCCATCCCCTGTGGCTCTGTTTGAGCAGGGCAGGTGGACTCTGGGCTTGCCCAGCACAGAGAACCATAAAAGAAATGAATATTTTTATTTGCTTTCTCCACTTCCTCGTGCAGGCAGACAAAGGAACCTTTCATCCCTGCCCTCCTGGTTTCCTTTCCTGGGTTTTGCTCATGGCTTTTACAAACAAGTTCTCCAGGAAAGGGTGTGAAGATGAGCAAAGGTTTCAATTTCCTGGCCTCAAGGGCAGGTTACCCCTAGGAAATTTTAAATTCCAAAGCTCCTGGGTTATTTCCAGCTTCTGGAATCAGACTGGTTACAAAAGCCAGGCTGGTTTGCAGCCAGGTCCTCCTACACGGACAGACTGGCACTTTAAATAATGAAATTACACCGTGAGCTCATTGAATTTGGCAAAAATCATCTTGTTTTTCCCCAGTCACCAAAGCATGAGTGAACACCCGAGCTGTGAAAACAGAGCCCAGCTCAGGGCCAGGCTGCTGCTGCCTCTGGTTGTGAGCTGCAGGAATGTGGAAGGACAGGATGGAACAAAAATAAATAAATAAAAGTGTGACAAGGTTTTTTCCCCCCTATTTGTTGTGCTCTCCCAGGTTCCTGGTGGCTCAAGGGCTGTTCCCAGGATACATTAACCAAGAACACCAAACACAGCCCAGGAGAAAAAAAAAGCTGCTCTCAAATATTTGCTCCAGGGTTATTTGCATTGTGTTCCCTTTACAGCCCTGAGCTCCTGCCACTTCCCAGTTGGCTCCTAGATCTTATCTGGGGCTCTCAACCAGGACAGCCCCAGCCCTTGGCACTGGATCCGTGGCACAGCTCTGGGAGCAGCCCAGAAGTGCAGAGCCCTGCTGGGAAGAAGGTTCTGGCACCTCACAAAGGTTTAATTGCACCCCTGAGGGGTGAGGAGGAGGAGGACACCCACCCCAGCTCCTCAGGGTGGGAGACAGGCTCACACAGGAATCATGGAATTGTCACAGCTGGGAAAGATCTCCAGGATCACTGAGCTCAGTCTTGACCAAAGTGGCTTCCTGGAGCTGGAGAGCCTTTCTAGAAGCTTCTGCTCTGCCACTGTCACCCCAAGAAGCACCTTGGGCACCTGGTTGGCTTCCCCTGCTCTGCAACTCCCCATCCACTGGTCAGGAGCAGCAGATTTTAGAATTGTGGAATGGTCTGGGTTGGAAGGGACCTTTAAAGATCAACGAATCCCATTCCCTGTCAGGGCAGGGACAGGTTCCACCACCCCAGGCTGCTCCCAGCCCCATCCAGCCCGGCCTGGGCCACTCCCAGGGATGGGGCAGCCATGGAATCACCTGTGCCAGGGCCTCCCCACCCTCCCTGCCACACATTTCCCCGAGCTGACGCAGGAGAAGGAAGCAGGGGTGAAGTCAAGGCACAGGCAGCTCAGAGAACTCCACAGCAGGCATCTTCCCCTTCCAGGCAGAGCTGACTAACCAGTTCCCAGCAGCTGATAAGCACAAAGCAACTCTGTTTGACCAGGATCTCCTTCCCCCAGGGTGACAGGCACACCTGGAGCTCCCAGCAGGGACATCCCCACCCCTGCCAGGCCCAGGAAGGCAGCAGAGATGCAGCTCCTGCTCCACGGTGGCTGCTGCAGCTCCCAGCCCAGCTCTGCTCCTCCCCACGTGGATTTTTAAAGAGCAGAGCAGTGTTCAGCTGCTGTTTTGGGGTGCACAGGAGGATGTTCACCCTTTGATAAATCAGCTGAGCCTCCTTTCACCCCATGGCTTCAGCCCTGGAGAGAACAACCCCAATTCTGCTCTGCCACTGTCCCCAAGGCACCTGTGACCTCCTGCCACTGTCCCCAAGGCAGAGCAGCTGGGACAGCCCTTGTCAGCCCCACGCACAGCTCAGGGTGCCATCTCCTGGCACAGGGAGCCCAGAGCAGCTGGCACATCCCTGGCAGTGCCCAAGGCCAGGCTGGACAGGGCTTGGAGCAGCCTGGGATGGTGGGAGGTGTCCCTGCCATGGTGAGGGTTTGGATGAGCTCCACAGTCCCTCCCAACACCCAGCTGAGCTCTTGGGCTCCATGATCTTTAAGGTCTCTCCCAGCCCAGTGACTCTGTGAATTCTGTGAACCCAACCCATGCCACAACCCTGTGATCCCAAGCAGGTTCTAAGGGAGAACACTGGGAAGAACCCACCTGTCACGGATATATCTTATGAAAAATCCTTTTGCCAGGATCTTTTCCCCTCAGAAGCTGGGAAGCTTCAGCTTCTCCATGCTTTGCTGCTTTGGAATGTGATTCTTTTCCTGCTTTTATTCCTCCCTTTCTGCTTCTCTTTCTGCTGCTTTCTTTCCTCCCTTTCTGCTCTTTTTTCCTCCCTTTATACTGCTTTTTCTGCTGCTTTTTTTCCTCCCGTTCTGCTCTTTTTTTCTTCCCTTCATGCTGCTTTTTCTGCTGCTTTTTTTCCTCCCTTTCTGCTGCTTTTCCTGCTCTTTTATTCCTCCCTTTCTGCTTCTATTTCTGCTGCTCTTTCCTCCCTTTCTGCTCTTTTTTCCCTTCCTTTATGCTGCTTTTTCTGCTGCTTTTTTCCTCCATTTCTGCTCTTTTTTCCTCCCTTTCTGCTGCTTTTCCTGCTCTTTTATTCCTCCCTTTCTGCTTCTCTTTCTGCTGCTTTCTTTCCTCCTTTTCTGCTGCTTTCTTCCCTCCCTTTCTAGTCTTTTTCCCTCCCTTTATACTGATTTTTCTACCGCTTTTTTTCCCTCCTTTTCTACTCTTTTCCCCCTCCCTTCCTGCTGCTCTTTCTCTGGATGGAAAAAGGGAGGGAAAGGACCTAAAAGCCACCAGGAGAAAAAGCCAAGGCAAAGAGGCT